TACTATCTGCAAGATATTATGGACCTAACAGTGTCTGCAAGATATGTGTTTGTGATTTTAATTATATGCAAGAATTGGGGATCCGTATCTCTAACTTCATTCACGCCTGAGGATGTAAGGGGAGAAACACATCTGATATCTGAGCGTAAGGCAGTGGGAAAGACCTGGACCTTTTGTGTAAAACTTGCCCTTCTGACTCCATAAAGACATTCTCTAAAAGTTTGTCCATGCACTGTGCAATCAACAGTTCAATAGTGCAAAAGCCAAACGCTGTGACTCCTACATCATTAGAGAGCTCATCTAGGGTCAGGAGACTCTTGACCCTGAACTAATTATTCAAGAGGGAAAGCTGATGTTTTTCAGAGTGAAACATATAAAATAAAATGTGCTGATTCGCTCATCTTCTAATCTAGTATTTAAATTCTGAACCATAAAGACATGTGCAATTGGGAATGTTGCCTCAACATGAGTATGATACTGTTCCAACGCTTGCTACAGAGTTCCCTTCTCCTAATACAGGAGTTCCCACACTCCAGGGGATATCAGATGGCATTCAGGAGGTGCAATAAAGAGAAGGGTGTGTTGTAATTTGCCAAAAATTATCCCAATAATAACAGTTTTATTATTATTTTGTTTGCATTTACATTCAGTTCTCTCAAAGAACCTTCCTGAGGCTGTTCCAACTTCTTGATTATGCATTCTGGGGAAAGCATAATGTCCACAGCAGAAGGGAAATCTGTCTCGTGAGGTTTAATTAAACATCCATGGCTTGTGGGAAGACTGGGGAATTCCAGTTTGCTTATTCCCTCAGTAATGCTTGACTGCTTCTCCTGTGGAAGCCTGGAGAAAGAGGCCAGGTACCCATGTTGTTCTGCAGCCCAGACATCACCATTTGGTGCAGGAGTAATAGATGATATGTAATAGGCAGATGGCCTATTTTGTCAGATCCTGACTGTTGGATTTTAGTAGCTCGAGATGTTAGATTATCTCTTCTTACAAAGTCTATTGAAATGTGTCATACTACACATTATTCACTGATTGCTGCACAGAAAGAGGGTTCAAATATCCTGTTTAAGACACTTGCTACATTTATCACTTGCACTACCCACAGGAATCCCCGTCTAAAAGGCGATTATCATTTTTCCTCCACCCGGTTGTGTTCCACCTAAATGTGTTCATTCTAGTACTGATAGCAACAGCTTCTTGATGTAACATGGAAGAGAGGCGTGAATCTCTTTAATGCTCTCATAGGAAAAATACCAAAAGAGTATATAAAACTTACCTTTTCTCATTAATAAAACAGGAATGTCTGATTTATTAAAGCCTAGAAGAGCTCTAGTATGGCACGGTGGCAACAATAATTCCACTGCCTTCCAGTCAGCCAGTTTTATTCCAAGTAGCTGCCCTTTACTGAGTCCCCGCAAGTAAGCTACCATTAAAGAGGAAAATGTTCCGTACAACCTGATATGCTTGTAAAATCAGGCCGTGTTTAGCCAAATGCCTCTTGCAATATTTAGCACTAAAACCTAAAAAGGAGATTTAGCTTGTGAGAAGTTATTTGAGGAAATAATTTCCTGTGCTGCCCAAGACAAAAGCTGATTATGAGTACTTTGAATCGTAATGATTATTTGTTTCTTAAACACAAGAAAAAAATCTGATAATTGCTTAAGGGAATTACTGTAGGGATTGGGTCCGCTCCTCCTATCAAAGTTCTTCAAAAATTGTGGATACAGATTCTAATTCAGACAAAGAGTAGGGGACAGAATCCACAGCTGAAATGCCAAGACTGAAAGATAAACCAGGCTGCCACTGAGAATCAGCCAGTTTCAAATTCAGCAAGGGAGACAGACATCATTAATCTGAGGATACAGCAGCATCAGGTTAAGAGGGCAGACGAGTTGAGAGGCATGAGATGCTCAAAGTGATCCACACTGAAAAGGTGAGGTATTCCTTTTGGAATCAACTTCCTATCACTCAGCTGCATTTCCCTAATGACCAGTATTTCTAATTTGCTCAATCCTTTTGTTATTGACTTCTGCATTTTTTGTGCTCCAATGCTGGTCAGCTGTGGGATAATAATGATTAAAAAGTCTTTCTCTTGGTCTGTTCGGAAGGAAGATGGGAAGAAGAACTCTCCCTATACTTATATCACTAGGTTGAAAATAGCTGTCCTCTGTCATTGCGGCCACCAAAAAGCACTATTGTGCCATGAGTACTAAGAAACTAGAAGAGCTCTCTCTCTCTCTCTCTCTCTCTCTCTGTGTGCGTGTGTGTGTGTGTGTTTGTGTGTGAGGGACAGGGGGATATTCACCTTCAGCTTCATCATCTGAGAATCTATTTGCCCACTGGCATTGCAAACACAAATTCATCCTGCTGGGTTGTTTTAAAAGAAAGAAAATAATCAATTTGGCACTGATTAGGATGTGGTTGAGAACCTAAATCAATAGAACCAGGTCTCTTCCTACATTTCATAGTCACAGCTACAGCCAAAATAAAATAAAATAATCTAAAAGCCCCAAAAGCTGAAAATGAACTTGAAAAGGATTTCTAATAACAGTAGTTTATCTCTATACACAGAGTCTTTAAAAATGGAATAATGAATTGGAGTATCCTATTTTGTCCAGTCCACAGATCACATATCTGGCACTGGTATTTATCTCAAAAGGAATAATGGATTTTAGAAACCATTCAGTTCAGTTTTTTAAAAAAGATATTTTGAATGTATTGACTGTCATAATGCCTTTTCAATAAGGGCCTATCTAAATTAGCCAATTGCTGGAGAAGTAATACACCTAACATTTCTCTCACTCATATGTTTAAGCAATGCCCAAAGGCTGCTTCATTTTGGAAGGGGATAATATGGTTAAACATTGTAACAGAAAGTTCTTCCATATTTACAGACATTCTTAAGTATATACCCACCTTTTGCATGCTAACAGAAGGACCATATAAATGGATCCTATGTGCTCTGTGCCCCTTCCATTGTTAAAAGACTAATATTACAACACTGGAAGGACAATACAAAAAATCTAGATCCTCGATTCCTTAAAGGCTGAAGGAACAAAGGAACAGAACAATGAAGAAATTGAAATTATAACAAGCACAGAGTTTTAAAACACAGTGAACATTGCTAAAGGCAATACAGAGAAAGATAGACAGCAGGGGCATAAACAAACTGGAAGATCTATATCCCTATGCATTGACAAAAATACCATGATTTTTTCTGCTGTTTCTGTTGACTTCATCATATGGCTAAAAAACCCCTTTGACTTCAGAGTTGGCCTCCAGGTGGGGCAATGCTGAAATGGAGAAGGGAGGTCTTCTGCTTTACTCGTGTATGGCAAGCATGAGCATCCCTTCTGGGTAGACTGACTGTGTTGCTCCCCCCCCCCCCACCCACAGGAACAGTCAGGCGATTTTTGGAGGTTCATGGGGAAACTCTTGAAAAAGTGGTGTTTGCAGTGTCTGAGCTTGAAGAGGTATGTGGATTGCTTTGTATGTGCCTGCAGGTGTTTGGTCTGCAACACCTAATGCTCTGTTGATAGTAACTTCTCCAGAGGGTGCACAGTAAACTGAATTTCAAAACTGCTTCATTCTTATTTTCTGAAGTCAAATATACCCTCAGCCAGTGGCTTGATAGACATTTGTTTCTAACCAGCAAATGGTTCAGTTACTGGAGTGTCGGTATTTTCTGGCTATAGGATATTGAAGGGCCCCCTTGGTTTGGTCACACTAAAGGCAGGGAGTAAATCTGCAGACACTGCGCGGCTGAATCATGGGGTATCGCAATAGCCTTCTGTAAGTAAAGCAA